TCTTATCTGCTTCTTCAGCTCATTGCTCACCACTCTCCATTTTACATGTCACACTCAGAATCCCAACTCCTTGAGTTTTCTCCACAACCACTATAGAAAGAGCTACCTGTCCTTGTTACTGTTTACTTTGCTCGGTAAGCTCCTCGCCACTTCCTGATTTAATTCCTACTCTCCAGAGTTTGCTGTACATCTATTCCTCCAGGCTCTCACTCACCCTCACAACATGACTGAGGCCTCTTGATTGTGCTCACACAGTGAATGCATGAATGAATGACCACTAATACAGGTGTTCTGTGAGGGGACATGATGTGAATCAGTCAGCAGATGGTCAGTCTAACAATAACATTTCAGCTCCTTGTGTTCCTAATGCCAACAAGTCAACTTAGAATGTTCAAGCTACATTCTATTCTGTGTTGTATTAGACCCATTGTTTCATCAGCTGTATAAAGGGATCATCTTTAAAAGGTCCTCTGGTCAGAACATATAATTGAAATGTGATCATCTTTTAGTGTTTGGTATGCACTCCTCATTGATACAGTTAACTTCTTCAGCTAACTTCTAAATATTCTTTGCTAATTCCTCACTTCATTGCACCATTAACTTACCTAGTTTTATTTCAACACTATTTTACTGAGCTTGCTCTACTCTTCTCCCATACTCCAATACTTCAACATATCATCGACAGTCAGAAAGAAAGAAAGAAAAGGAAGACTTCTGTGATACTTGATAGATTGGCTGACTTTCTCTGCATAGAGCCAGGTAATACATATCTAGGGCTTTGTGGGACATCTGGTTTCTGTCACAATGATTCAACTTTGCAGTTCTAGCAGGAAAGCAGCTATAGACAATAAGCCGACAAATTAGTGTGGCTGTATTCCAATAAAACTTTATTGGAATAAAGACCATCTGCTTTACAAAAAGCAGATGGCCCAAGACCACAGTCTGCCAATTGCCTGGGTCATTTGGAGGCTTATTTCTGTGGAGGAAGATTTTGTTCAGATACAGAAACATTTTCCAAATAGCTTGTTCCCAAGGAATAATCTTTCTAATTATACATAATCCTGAGGTAAATACTTTTTATATATATATTTTATTGATTATGCTATTACATTTGTCCCATTTCCCCCCTTCCCTCCCCTCCACCCTGTATCCCCTCTCCCACCCACGTTCCCCCCTTTATTTCACGTCCATGTGTCATTCTTATGAGTTCTTTAGCTTCTACCTTTCCCGTACTGTTCTTGCCCTCCCCCTATCTATTTTCAACCTACATTCTATGCTACTTATTCTCTATACCTTTTCCCCCCCTCCTCTCCTCCCACCCCCCTGCTGCTAACCCTCCATGTGCCCTCCATTTCTGTGGTTCTGTTCCTGTTCTAGTTGTTTACTTAGTTTCTTTTGGTTTTGCTTTAGGTGTGGTTGTTAATAATTGTGAGTTTGCTGTCATTTTACTATCCATGTCTTTTCTTTATCTTCTTTTCTTAGATAAGTCCCTTTAACATTTCATAAAATAAGGGCTTGGTGATGATGAACTCCTTTAATTTGACCTTATCTGAAAAGCACTTTATCTTCCCTTCCATTCTAAATGAGAGCTTTGCTGGATAGAGCAATCTGGGATGTAGGTCCTTGTCTTTCATGACTTGGAATATTTCTTTCCAGCCCCTTCTTGCCTGTAAGGTCTCTTTGGAGAAATCAGCTGACAGTCTGATGGGAACTCCTTTGTAGGTGACTGTCCCCTTATCTCTTGCTGCTTCTAGGATTCTCTCCTTCGTTTTTACCTTGACTAATGTAATTATGATGTGCCTTGGTGTGTTTCTTCTTGGGTCCAACTTCTTTGGGGCTCTCTGAGCTTCTTGGATTTCTTAGAAGACTGTTCCCTTTGCCAGATTGGGGAAGTTCTCCTTTATTATTTGTTCAAATAACTTTTCCACTTGTTGCTCCTCCCCTTCTGGTACCCCTATAATTCGAATGTTGGAACGTTTAAAGGTGTCCTGGATGTTCCCAAGGCTCTCCTCGATTTTTTGAATTCTTATTTCATCATGTTTTCCTGCTTGATTGATTCTATCTTCCTTCTGGTCCACTGTATTGTTTTGAGACTCAGATACCTTCCTGTCTCTATTGGCTCTCCTCCGCGTATCTTCCTTCATCTCTTTTATGGTAACCTGCATCCTTTCATCTAAATTGCGCCCAAAATCAACCAATTCCGTGAGCTTTCTGATCACCAGCGTTTTGAACTGTGCATCTGATAGATTGGCTATTTCTTGGTCGCTCAAAAGGATGAGTCCTGGGGGACTGATCTGCTCTGTTGTACACATGTCTTATGTCTTTCCCTGTCTCTCTCTTTTTTTTTTTTCCGGTCTAGTCGCTCTTGTTATGGTGGGGGGCGGAGCCTTAGGTGTTCACCAGGGCTGGGCGCCCCAGTCACTAGATTGTGACGTTATATGTGGGGGCGGGGGCGGGAGCAGGGATGGGAGGGAATCAATGGCGGCAGTTCAGTTCTCCTGGGCCCAGACCCTTCCCCGGGCTCCTGGGCTGCGAGCTCTGCCCTGGTCCACAATCGCTGCCCTACTAGGTCCGCCAGCTGCAGCTTGCGTACTCAGGGATCACCGCTGCGTTCTTGCGCCCCGGATGGCTGTTGCGCCGATTCTGCGCCAAACTTTCCCCAACCTCCGCACGCCGGCGACCGGCACCAGCCCCGTGCCCTCCCGGCTCGCCCTCTCCTACCGGTCTGGATGTACGGGTCTACTTCAACTTCTTGGCTGTCCGACTTCCATTCAGATAAATCCTCTGCCAGTTCTATGTGTTATGCTGACCGTAATTTATTGTTGTTCTAATCTTGGTTGTGCGAGGAGGTACGGTGCGTCCACCTATTCCTCCATCTTGCCGGAAGTCAATAATCCTGAGGTAAATACTTTGAAGGATACTTGTACTATATGTTACCGAGCAGTTTTATCAGAAACAGAAGCTGAGGGAATAAGATTACATAAAAATTCATTTGCTTTAATAACAACTCTCACAGCTCAGCATATCAGGAGCTACATCCCAAGAGAACCCAAAATTTCTGTATGCTGCTTTGGCACTCAATGATAAGAGCTCTAAAAATGTTTATGATCTTTACTGGTGCTATAATTTTTAGGAAGTATCCCATAGAAATGATTCCAAGGCACAAAAATCAGTGTGCTCATTGATATTTAGAACAGAAATATTTATTAACACTAAAATTTTAAAGTAACCCAGTTGGGACATAGAATGATAGCATACAAGAATTCTATAGAAATTTTTTAAAGGGGTGATTGTGTGGAGTGTGTATGCACATGAAATATGCACATGAAAAAATGACAAGGAAAAGTATTCAAATGGAAAAAGAATGTGATCACAAACATATAAAACTTAATATACATTAATTCTGTCAGTCAATATTCAGTATTTATTGAATAAGAAACCAGCAGGAGCAAGTCTCTATTCTAGGGACTGCAAAGACAGCAATGAATTTTTGGGGGGCAGACCCAAATCCCTGCCTTCGTGGGGCCAAGATTTTTATGGGAGAGAGAGACATATTGAGGATCAAGGAATTTCAGTGATTGATATATTTGGAAGTTTAATATCATGAGATTTCTCCCACATAAGTTCACGTACATTTTTTTAAAAAGGCTTTTCCTTTTTCATCAGTATGTTTTGTTGTTTTAGGAATAAAGATTTCTCTGATCACTTCACTCAGCCAGCATTTGCTGAGTTCTCACTATGTGTCTGACCTCCTTCAGGGCACTAGAAATAGACTGTGAACAAAACATACAGACATGCCTACTCTCAGGGAGGTACAGTCTAGCAGAGGATGAGGGGGGCAGAATATATAGAATATACAGAATAACTCTTGTTGTTGAAAATAGACAAATATTAAGACAATATTACAAAATATATATTCTTATAATACATAGAAATATAGATATATATATTGCAAGAATATAAGTAAAATATATACAAGGTTAAGTGGTGTTCAAGCAGCAGAAGCAAAGAAGATAAATGTTTGAAAAGGAAAACTTCTAGATTAGGAGGTCAAGAAGGACTCCTTGAGAAGATGACTTTTGAGTACATATTTTTAAAAAACAAACATGCTAACATTGTGATGGTTTGGGGGGAAGATCATTCCAGATAGAGGGATCAAGTACAGCAGCCCTGAGGTACCTGGGGTGTTCAAGGTACATCAAGGCATCCAGTAGTGGAGAGTAGTGAGTGAAGGAGAAAGAAGTAGGGAATGAGATTGAAGGTATAACAGCAGTGACAGTCACATCTGGCCTTTGAAGTTATTGGAAAGATGTTGGTATTAATAATGAGAAGTCTGAACAAAAGAGAGATATGATCAAGCATAAATTAAAATAACTCTTGTTGTTGAAAATAGACAAATGGGTACAGGGAGGCTTTTAGGAAACTTGCAATGATCCCGGTGAGACAATAGTTGGACCAACAGAATAGGTCAGATAAGCATTTTGGGCTGTGGTGGCACAGGGAAAAGGATGGAGGTGTGTCAGGAAACAGCAGTCCCCCACCCTCCCACCTCAGAGCCCACATGCCACAAAGGGGCAAATACTCAGGAGCAGTGACCCTTCCTGAACCTTTGCTCTGTCTCTGGTGGGAAGCATAATGCCAGCAAATCCTAGCTGCTCCGCTTAGGTTGGTTAAATGTTATAAAACAAAAAAGGAATGCAAAACCAAATCTCTATTTTACAGCCACCTTCTGCTATAGAACACTCTCCTCACCACTTTTGTCCTCAGTCATGTCCCTTCTTTGGCTATTTATTTTACAAATTAATACCTCTAACATTTATTTGGGTCCTAAGAAGCCTTCAGTCCTCAATGACCTACATCACATTAAAGCGACAGAATGGTAAGATCCCATTGAACCACTTCTTTCCACCTCACACCTTTATGACCTGGAAGCACCGTCATTGCCTTTCACCATTAAAAAGCCAAAGGCAGATTATAACTGAATGTAACTTTTTTTTTAGGGAACAACTTAATTCTTTATTGAAGACCTATAACATTTTTTATGAGAACCAGGAAAATCTGCATATTTCCTATGGACAGGTAAGTCTATCAAAGAAATGCAATACAATTGATTCACAGAAAAAAATCCCATAAAGGTACAGAGGGGTCAGGATGAGTTGGAATCCATAAGCTAACCACAAAAATGGTCTGTGAGAAACAGGTTAATCTTAAACTTGATCATAATTTTTTACGGTCCTGGGACATCCATGACTTCCTAAGCATTTTCTTGTGAATAAGAAAGTATTTTAAAATAACTTTAGTGACACATCTGCTTTCTATTTTAAAAACAGTGTATGAATATCTTTTAAACAGCAATTCTACCAGAAATCTATCATAATACTTTCTTATAAATGCACCAGAATGTAAACAGAAAGATTTTTCACAGTGATATCATATGTAATGAAAAAAAAATGAAGGTATGTTAAGTCTCCACCAGTGGAGAATTGCTCAGATCACTCATGACATATCTGTAACACAGTTTGATTTGGTTGTTAAAATGAGTGTGTACCGTGTCATAGTAAAAATGTTAAAGCAACAATTCAGGGAAGTCCTGACACTAGAAGCATTCTTAGGGATGCACCTGACAGGCTACTGCACACACTGGCCTTAGGTCTTCCTTCTCTCTTTCTCTTTCTCTCATTCATTCATTCATTCCTTTGAACGCCTCATTCTCCACAAGTCTCTCCACTCAGTCTTCTATTCTAATGCTGCTCACTTCCCATATTTATAATATCTTCTAGGTCCCAGGGAACATTATAATTTTCTAATATTCTGTTTTAAGTCAAATTGGATGGTAGAACATTGACTTTAGGCCACCACGTTTTGGCTTAAATCTGTAGCTGAGATGGAAGGATATTTACAAACCACTCTGTCATTTACTAATGAGCTTCAATAATTTAGTTCAATTGGATATGTCAGTTAGCTTTGCAAATATAATATACTGAAGAGTAACTAGTCCCTTTAAAAATAAATGGGCCAAATTTTAAATTATTTTAATATTGGCCTATATCTCAGATCTCTAATATCCACAATTAATAAAAATATAAAATTTAAGAAAATATAAAAATTTTAAGAAAATGCTGCTTTATATTTTCTTTTATAGTTTTCACAAAATTCATGGTGTTAGGAAGTGTGTTATCTTTAGGAACGTATTTGGATTTTGATGTTATAAACCTACAAGTTGAGGCAGGCCCTTTCCAAACCTGTGAATTAGTACTCAGTTCGCAATAGGAAAATCATATAATTTTAAAACAAAATCTCATGTCTCATATAATTTTTAAAAATTATATGAAGTAAAGTATACAGGGAGAATATTGGGTTTTTTAGTCTTTCCACCTTTACTCACCAGTCAACAAAGTTGGAATCCAGAATTTTCCAAATCTTCTTCCTGACTTACTATGATGTCAAAAGGGGCAGTCCACAGAGGATAACGTGTGGCTTTCTTAACCTCTGATTAACGAATTAAACAAATATTTATTGTCCACCAGGCACCAGACACTGCTCTGTAAGCTGGGGATACAGCATTAAAAAAACTAGATGAAATGTGCTGCCTTCATGCTGCTTACATTTTAGTAGACAGACAAGAAACAGAAGTAACATGTACTGTATCAGACAGTGATGGTGGCTGTGGAGAACTTCAAAGTGGAAGCAGGCTGCAGAATCTAAGTGAGAGGGGGAGGAGGAGCCTTTGACCAAAGACTCTGAAAGATGTGAGGGAGCAAACTTTGCAGAAGTCTGTGGGACTCACAGTTTGGCAGAAAGAACAGCCTGAATAAAGATTTTGAGCCTAAATAGCAGGAACCTTGTGAGAATGGGAATTAGTGAGTAGTGAAGGCAAAGAGAGAACTGAGAAGGGGAAGGCACGAAGGTGTGTAGAGTCTTGTGAAGACTTTAGCTTCTACTTGGAATAAGATGGGAAACCACTAGGGAGTTATGAGTAGAATAGTGACATTGTCTGAAAGGGTTCATTGTAAAGGATCTCTCAGGCTACTGGGAATATACAGAAGGTCAGGAGAAGGATGAGGCAGACCAGAAAGAAACTTGAAATAAACCAGGTTATCAATGACAATGGCATAGACCAGAATCATGGTAGTGGATGTGGTGAGTGTGGTCATATTAGGGATATATTTTTAAGATAGAGTTAATAGGATTTGCATTAAATGTTTAGTATTGAAAGAAAGATAAATGGTGATTGTAAAATTCTTGGCCTGAACAACTGGAAGGATGGGGGTGCTATTTACCAAGATGGGAAAGACTAGGAGAAGAAAGTATGGGAGAACTATCATGAGTTAGTTAGAAACAAATTAAGTTTGATGTCAAGTAGGCAGTATGACAACTGGATTTCAAGGGGAAGGTTTGGGCTGGAGATATAAAGTTGGCCGCTATTTGTTTAGAGATGGAATATAAGGATCCTTGAAATTACCAAGGATGTTTGTGTAGATATGGAAGAGAAGAGACCTGAAAATTGGGACAAGGCAATTATATAAGTGTAAGTAAGCCTTCAGGGATAATCAGTTAATCTACAAAGAGATGCTTTCTGAAATTAGAAAATATTCTCGTATTCTTTACATGATAGTTGGAGAATTTCTTTTTTTTTTCACTGTATTTTTATTGTTCACACTGTTACAGATGTCTCCATTTCCCCCTCTTTGCCCACCTCCACCCAGACGCCCCCCCTTCCCTCTGGCCATCACACACTGTTGCCTGTGTCCATGGGTCATGCACATATGTTCTTTGGCTAATCAAGCAAGAATTATATAATCTCAGATTGCAGTTACTCTTTGTTTGATGTAAGAGATTAATTGAATTCTCTTTAGGCAAAGACAGGATTTAATACATCAATAACTGAAATGTAGTATCTGCATCATGTACTGCCATTTCAAAGAACAAATTTTATTTGATTGTTAAAACAACCATTGGTAACCTGACTTCTCAGCAATCTGAAATATGAACTGAAAAGTGGGAAAAATCAAAACTTTGTTTCAAAAGTGGCTCTAAGGTAGGCTTTTCAGCTAAAAAGAATAATAGGTAATAACATTCTTTGAACAGGTATTAAATACCAGGTCCTATGATTTAGGGACTACTGTGATGTTCAGTCTTCTGAAGAAGCAACCCTGGTTTAAAGGTTTCAGCAGCTTGTCCAAGGTCACACAGCTAGGAAGTTGCAGAGCCAGAGTTTGAATACAAGACTGTCTGATTGCACAGTTTGGAGTTTTCATTACACTCTCGAATAAGAATTAAGACATTTATGTTTTATAATAATCAATTTTTCTTAATAACAGTAGTTATTGGATGGTTGGAATATGACTCTTTTTAGTTTCTATACTTTCCAAATTGCCTATAATGCTAACACATTACTTTAAAAACACAAAGACTTACATAAACATGAGAACAGTAGATTAGAAAATAAGTTCTATGGGAATGTGCTTTGGTATTTATATTTATAACCTCTAAATAAGTAAATATTCATAGATGTTCATTAATTTTTCTTTGTTTGCATGGAGTTTCCTTTTTTTATTATAATAGTTCCAACTCAGCAGACATCATTCAAATGTTACTGATGGTATTCAAAAAATCATTTCTGTTTTACATTGTACACTGTTTTCATTCATATACATTATTTCACTCATTCTGCATAAAAACTTTGTGAGTTAAAATTTTCCTGTTTAAAAGTAAAGAAAGAGCCACTAAATCTCTCAACAGTTCTGATTTCTAATTTAGTGCCATTTTTAATTCTACTTGAACTTTAAGTTAAACAGAATTAGAGAATTAAACTTCCACTTCATTGAAGAATCACAGAGTCCAGAAGGCATTTTAACATACTGTGCCCTCTGGGAGGCATGTCATCACCATTATGACTTGCTTTGCTGGTTATAGCTGTTTTCAAAAATTGCAAAGAATGTTTCAAAAACAAAATTATTTTGTAGATAGATAGAAAAGCCAAACAATCCCACTTGGAGATTTATGTTTTTATTTATTAAAATGTCTTACATATTTAATATCTATATCTTCAGTTAAAACATCTGTGTTCTATAAATAATACAAGAATGTTTGAGATGGTTGGTTTCTTCCCTAGACTGAAGATGATACACTAATTGTTGAAGGAATGTTGGACATTTGCTGGGGAGTAAAACGGCCTATACAGCTGAAAATACAAGATGAGAAACAAATCCCTTCTTTTACTATGAAGTCACCAGATGGCTTTTCCAAAATGTAAGCTCTCATTCACCTTTTGAATTCTTTAGATAATCTTCATATTTACTTTTATTGAATGCACTCTTAAAGGTGGGACCTCTACTAAATGCTTATTATATACAATCTCATGTAACCTTTCAGCAACCTTATGAAGCAGGTGTTCAGAAACCAGAACTCTAAGAGGTTAGGAAATTATACAAGATCTCCAATCACCATGTAGCAGAACTGGACTGAACTTCAGATCTACAGGCTCGAGAGCCTGTGCTCTTGACCTCTTTGCTATATTGCTTCTTTCCTGGAACACCGCACCTCTTCATTGGAAAAGAAAACATGTAAAGGCAAGAAAAAAAAGAGGATAAAATTTAAATTTCCCTTGGAACAAAGGGCTCTTCTGCTTTCTAAAAAGGAGACTTCATTATGGTCCCCTGATTGACCTGACCCTGTTCAATGAGGCATAGTAAAATGCATTTGAAGTGCAATAAATGCACATGATGGTTGTCTGTCTGGGTTTATGCAACTGTACCTTGAATAAATAAGTTGGGCTGATTTTTTTCATTACCTTTTTGCAATTCTTAGAAAAATCAATAAATATTCTCAGAAGGAATCATATTTTTTCTGTTTTTATCCCTCCCTTCCTCTCTTCCTTTTTTATAATTTTAATTTTTAATTACAGTATAGTTAGTATACAATATTATATTAGACTCAAATATACAACACAGTGATTTAACATTTATATATCTTACTATGTGAACACCACACTCAGTCTAGTAACTATCTGTCACCATGCAAACTTACAACACTATTATCGATTATATTTCTTTTCACCTTTTTCACCCATTCCTCTACCCTTCTCCCACCTGGCAGTTTGTTCTGTGTTTCTATGATTTTATTTTATTTTTTGCTTATCCATTTCTTTTAATGTTTTAAAATTCCACATATAGGTGAAATTATGCAACGTTTGTCTTTAACTATCTGAGTTATTTCACTTAGAATAAAACCCTTTAGATCCATCCACCCATGTTGTCATAAATGGAAAGATTTCATTTTTTTATCACTGAGTAATGTTCCACTGTGTGTGTATATGTATATTCTTTATTTCTCTATCAAAGGATAACTGGTTGCTTCTATATCTTGGCTACTGTAAATAATGTTGCTATGAACATAGAGGTACATATATCTTTTCAAATTAGTGTTCTCATTTTCTTAGAACAAACACCCAGAAGCAGAATTGCTGAGTTATATGGTAACTGTAAAACTCTTAGAAGAAAATATAGTGGTAAACTATTTGATATGATTCTGAGTAATACCATTTTGGATAATACCCCTCAAGCAAGGGAAACAAAAGCAAAAATAAACAGATGGGATTTCAAACTAAAATGCTTCTGCACAGTGAAGGGAATCATCAACAAAATGAAATGACAATTACAAAATGGAGAATATATTTGCAAATAATATATCTTATCAGGAATTACTATCCAAAGTATATAAGAAACTGATAACTCAATAACAAAAGGAAATAAACAATCTGACCAAAAAAATGGGCAGGGACATGAAGAAACATTTCTCCAAAGACATACAAATGGTCAAGAGACATTTGAAAATATCACTAATCATCAGAATGGCTGTTACCAAAAAGTCAACAAATAGGAAGTGCTGTGAGGATGTGGTAGAAGGGGAATACTTATGCAGCCATTATGGAAATAGAATGGATATTCCCTTAAAAAAAAAAAAGGAACTTAAAATAGATCTGCCATACAAGTTCCCATCCTCTTTAATCCTTGAAATTGCAACTCATCTCCCTTTTGTGTGCATGTGAAGGTCCTAAATCTTCACCTCATCTATTTTCCCTTCCATAAGTAGAAGGGCAAGAGTTATGGCAGAGAGGGTAGGGTGGAGAGAGAGCTGCCAGGACCATTTCCCCAATCCGATCTCTGGCCATAATCAAGAAAAACCAGGAATCACCTTAAAGGAAGTTCTGCTTTTCCTTGAAGAAAACACTGAAGTCCCCACTATGATTTGCACCTTGCTGATCTTTCTCAAACATGATGCTCCAGCAAGTCTGACCATTTTGTAATTTCCCATGCAGAGCATGCAGTTTCTCTACTTGGCTGACTCTGCCTGGCAATCTACCTGCTTCTCCACACCCCTTTGCCTCTCTTTTACCAATGCTTTAAGACTCAGGTCAGATAACGCATTCTCCAGATAGCTTTTTCTCACCCCTCAGTCTGTACTAGGTGCACTGACAACTTTTCTCTATCAGTTTCAGAGCATGCCATTAATTATATTGTAATGCGAGCCTCTCCTCCTCTAGCCTGCTAGCTCCTCCAGAATGAGGAGCATGCCCTATTCAATATCTTTGCTATCCTAGTGCTCAGCAGGGTGCTTGGCACAAAGAACAAACTCAAAATATAGTATCAAACAAAGCCCTCAGAAGCCTGGTGGTTAAATTACCTCTGCTCTGTTGTGAGAATTGTTTGTATATACACAACTTCTGACTAGTCTTTCTCTAAGCTAAGGACTGCCAATGGGTGAAGAGTCCAGGACTTAAGGAAGAGTGCAAGAGAAACAAAAGACTAGGCAGCCTGATGAAACCCTGCATCTCTCATCTTTGGGTACTATATGGCTGATGGGGTTGATGATTCTCAGTGAGCAGGAGCATCATTAAAAAGGAGAAATTACCCATGAGCCCCTCTTTTAGAGAACTGTACAAGATATGAATTTGGCAAAATTAGTTCTTATTCTTCATATTACCTAAGAACTCATTGCAAAGTTCTCTAAGCAGCCAGCTCATTTTGATGCATTTTAGTGATCTGATTCATGAAAACTTTTCTTAAAATTTTATTTTAATGATTGTTTAAGTACAGTTTTCTGCCTTTTACTCCCATTCCAGCCCACCCACCCATCCCTCCCAACTTCCCTCCCATTACCTCCCCTCCTAGATTTTCTCCATGTGTCCTTTAAATTTGTTCCTATAAACCTTTCCCATTCTCCCCTGAAATTCCCTCTTCTCTCCCCTCTGGTCACTGTCAGCCTGTCCTCTATTTCAGTGTCTTTGACTATATTTTGCTTCTTTCTTTGTTTTGTTGTTTAGGTTCCTGTTAAAGATGAGATTATATGGTATTTGTCTTTCACTGCCTTAGCATAATGCTTTCGCTTAGCATAATGCTTTCCAGCTCCATCCAAGCTGTTACAAAGGGTAGGAGCTCCTTTCTTTCTGCTGCATAGAATTCCATTGTGTAAATGTACCATAGTTTTTTGATCCATTCATTTACTGATGGGCATCTAGGTTGCTTCTAGCACTTAGCTATTGTAAATTGTGCTTCTATGAGCATTGGGGTGCAAAGGTTCTTTTGTATTGGTGTTTCAGGGTTCTTATGATATAGTCCCAGCAGGGGAATTGCTGGGTTAAAAGGCAGATCCATTTTTAGTTTTCTGAGGAAATTCCATACTGCTTTCCATAGTGGTTGTACCAGTCTGCAGTCCCACCAACAGTGCACTAGGGTCCCCTTTTCTCCACAACCTCTCCAACACTTGTTTTTTGTTGCTTTGTTTATGATGGCCATTCTGACTGGTGTAAAGTGGTATCTCATTGTGGTTTTAATTTGCATCTCCCTGATAGCTAGCAATATTGAGCATCTTTTCATGTGTCTCTGGATCCTCTGTATGTCCTGCTTGGAGAAGTGTCTGTTGAAGTTTTTTGCCCATTTTTTAATTGGGTTGCTTGTCTTCTTAGAGTGGAGTCATGTAAGTTCTTTATATATTTTGGAGATTAAACCCTTGTCTGAGGTATCATTGGCAAATATGTTTTCCTATACAGTTGGTTCTCTTATTATTTTGATGCTGTTTTCTTTAGCTGTGCAGAAGCTTTTTATTTTGGTGAAGTCCCATTTGTTTATTTTTTCCTTTATGTCCCTTGTGCTAGGGGGCATGTCAATAAAAATATTTCTGCATGAAATATCTGAGAATTTCCTACTTATGTTCTCCTCTAGGACTTTAATGGTGTCACGGTTTATATTTAAGTCTTTTATCCACCTTGAATTTATTTTTGTGTAAGGTATAAATTGGTGCTTGAGTTTCATTTTTTTTTTTTTGCATGTAGCTGTCCAGTTCTCCCAACACCATTTGTTGAAGAGGCTATTTTTACTCCATTTCATGTTGCTGCCCCCTTTGTCAAATATTAATTGACTGTAGAGACTTGGGTTTATTTCTGGGCTCTCTGTTCTGTTCCATTGGTCCATGTGCCTGTTTTTGTGCCAGTACCAGGCTGTTTTGATTACAGTGGCCTTGTAGTACAGTTTAGTGTCAGGTATTGTGATCCCTCCTACTTTACTCTTCTTTCTCAAAATTGCAGCAGCTATTCGGGGTCATTTATGGTTCCATATAAATATTCAAAGTGTTCTATGTCTGTGAAATAAGCCATTGGTACTTTAATAGATATTGCATTGAATGTATAAATTGCTTTGGGTATTATGAATATTTTGATGATACTAATTCTTCCAATCCATGAACACGGTATATGTTTCCATTTGTTTGTGTCTTCCTTGATTTCTTTCCTGAGTGTTATATAGTTTTCTGAATACAGGTCTTTTACCTCTTTGGTTAGGTTTATTCCTAGGTATTTTATTTTTTCTTTTTGCTATTTCAAATGTGATTTTTTCTTGATTTCTGCTTCTTCTGTTTCATTGTTGGTGTACAGAAATGCCTTTGATTTCTGGATATTGACTTTGTATCCCACTGTTTTGCCATATTCACTTATTAGGTCAATCAGCTTTTTGCCTGAATCTATAGGATTTTCTATGCACATCATCATGTCATCTGCAAACAGTGACAGTTTTCTTTCCTCCTTTCTGATTTGGATCCCTTTTATTTCTTTTTCTTGTCTGATTGCTGTGGCTAAAACTTCCAGTACTATATTGAATAGAAGTGGTGAAACTGGACAGCCTTGTCTTGTTCCTGATCTTAGTGGAAAAGATTTTAATTTTTGGTCATTGAGTATGATGTTGGCTGAAGGTCTCTCA